TAGCCGTAGTTGCTGGGGTATCCGTAGCCGTAGCCGAAGCTGCAGTCACCACCGTAAGACGAGTAGTAGTCCGGGTAGTATCCGTATCCATCCATAGCCGCCTCCGATCGAGTAGTCGGGGTAGTAGCCGTAGCCGCAGTCGTAGTCGTCCTTGTCGTAGCTGTAAACGTCCTTGCCGTAGTAGTCGTCGCCACGGCCGTTTCCAAACTGCAACTCAATCGGAGGGGGAATTGTCGCTCGATTATGGTTCATACCCACGGTAGGGCTGCTCACGGTAGAGTGTTCGGTAGATTATTTTTCGGTTCGTCTGCAGATCCGGTCTGCACTATGGGCCTAGGGTTTTTCGGAATAGATTACAGATATATTTTCGGTTCATGGTTCAGATCTGTAAGAAAAGATGGTGAGACACTCCTAATTACTTAATACTTAAGTACGGGACACACAATTACGAGCTAAATCTGTATGAAGGTTTACAAATTCTGGGGCTAAAGCCTACGACAAAGCAACTGGAGCTCCATGTATTTCAGACACTGACCAGTAATACTGCTCAATAATGAGCACCGTTATTTAGTGGCCAAATGGACGAGAGCGAGCGGATGCGAGCGCGAGGCTCACCCAGTGCATTCACCGATCGCCAACACCCGCCGATTAGGCGGAGCCGTGTCTGCGCGAGCGAACGAACGCGAGCGCTGCAACCCGATATTTTTTTCTAGACACCGCGCCTGGCCGAGCCGAGGACTTAGCATAAGGCTGGGGCAGGCCGCGCAGCGGCGCTCCCCGAGCGAAGCGAGAGAGGGGCGGGCCCCCCGATGTGCCGTCGCTAAGTCCGCAGGCGAGAGCCAACGGGCGAGTGTTCTACAGACTAGAACGTCAGCACTGGGGGAGGCTAGTTTGGAACTCATGAGGTGGGGCACGAAGTCTTTAGCGGTGTTACACTCTGGCTAATCAGCAGAGCTAAGATTTAGTACAAGGTCCGTAAAAGGTAGGTTATTTCTCGGGAACGTTTGCTCTATTCTTATGGTCGGGGTGTAGGTTCAGGGTCTGACAAGTGCAAGTAATCTATAGAAAAACTAGATCCATAGTGCAGACCGGATCTGCCGACGAACCGAAAAAACTCAACCAGAGCGTTCGGTTCGTGCCCACGATAGGGCGTGGTGAGCGGCCCCCTTGAATAATGCGAATCACGGCCTTGTGTGGGCGTAAGCGTTGTCGAATGGGTTAGCGACGTAGCCGTATCGCGTTGCTGCGGTTCGATGGGTTCGTGATCGTGCGTTCCCTGTTGCGGATCGTGGTCGCGTTCGTGTCGAACTCCAGTTGGTGCCTGGAGTAGACTGTTTCGCTGTCGTTATGCTGGCGTAGTCGAGGCGTTCGCTGGTGGAATTCTTGTCGCTGTCGTGGTCGTAGTCGTTGTCGCTGTGGCTGCCGTAGTCGTCGTAGTCGTAGTAGAGTACTGCGGTCTGTCGTATAGTGGTACGTACGAGATCGATGATGCTGAAAGCGTATTTTGGCGTGGGGTTCGATTGGGCTCTGGTAGCCAAGTAGTCATCGCGGACGGGTTTGCGGTGTTCGTGGTTACTGCAGTGGCTGCAGGAGTGGCGGAAGCGGCGTTGTAGTACGTATCAGGGACTGTCGTTCGTTGATATTGTTGTCGTTGGTACGGGGGCTGTTCGCGTTGGACGAGTGAAAGCCCCCTAGAAAGAAGTTCGCTAGTCCAGCGTGGGCAGTTGAGAGGCGCGGATTGGAATACGACGCCTTGTGAATGAGGACGTGGCCGGAACGGAGATCGAAGTAGATGTGGGGATGGCCGTAGTTGCATGAGGTCTTAGTAGTCAGCGTGACCATACGCCATCGGATCGTCAACGTTGTGAGTTTCGTGTTTGAACTGCTGTAGTCGGAGTCGAGATCGAAGTAGTCGTAGTTGAAGTCGAAATTGAGCTTGTCGTAGTCGTAGTTGTAGTCGTCGTAGTCGAGTTGTTGTCGTGGTAATGATTAGGAGTCGTAGCCGTCGTAGTAGCTGTGCAGGTCGAGCTGGTTTGCCCGTGTCATCGTCGTTGTCGAATTCTCGGTTGTTTTGTCGTGCTGGACCTTGTAATGCAACCACCGTTGTCTTGATCGTGTAGGTTGTTGCTTGGGTAGGTAGCGCCGACCGTGTAATGCGAGTGTGTGGTTGTGCAAACCGGCGTCGTAGTCGCAATAGTAGTATGTGGGAATCGCGGTGTCGTGGAAGCCATAATTCGTCGTCAGGATTGTCCAGGAGCTTTCAGTAGCAGAGCTGCGCGTTTCAATGGCTTGGCGGTAGTTTCACCTCAGATTGAATGCCTCGGCGTTGTGGGGTACGTGGTCATCGCCGGTGTTCTCGTTCTGCGGCTGCTCGTGCAGTGTGCCGTATTGCGGGCCGAGGGGCTTCGAGATGCGCGTTGATGAAATTGGGTGGGGCTCGTCGTTGTCGTTGTCATGGGTGTTGCCGTAGTCGAAGTCGCACGCGTAGTCTGAATCGTTGGCGGAGTCGTAGCCGTCGTTCGTAGTCGTTCGTCATCTAGTTGCGCCCGACTCGTGTCGTTCATTGCGTGGAAGTTGTGAAAGCGGCTCGTTATGCATGTCTTGAATGGCGGGTGTAGATTGTCGCTTAGACTTGGGTAGCCGATAAATTTCCAGTAGTGCTTGGGCGGCGCGCTGTTGTCAGCCACGTCATAGTTGTTGGGAGTCGGTTCCGGTTTCGGTTTTCGCTGTCGATGGTGCTGGTGCTGGCGCTGAACTTGGGGATTGTGATAGGGTAGCTGGCAGATTCCGGCAGATGCTCGTTCAGCTCAGATACTGTCGTCGTTGGCAGATTCTAGTGACTGGCTGTGCAGCTCGTTATCGCTGAATGAGTTGGCATGTGATGGTAGCCGTTTGCGCCACTCATTATCGTAGTTGCGGAGACTCGTTTAGTTCTGCCGGCGTCCCTCCTGATTGGTGTCCGTCGAATTGTTCACCTTCGAGCAGTCCGTATTGCAGGATATGGGACCGCTGCAGCGATCATCTCTCTCCGTGTTCGGAGGCACCCGGGTCGATAGCGAGGAAGGTGTTACCACGTGTGGTGGGTGTGCCTAAAATAACAACAACAACAACAAGGGTACATCAGAATTCGGTAGTTCGTGCGCATGTGCGATAGCAGTCGTGTGGGAAGGCGAGTTAGGCAATGAAGAGTCGTGCGCCGTAAGCCCTGGCTTGCTTGGTATGCGTGCCGGTCACGGTCGCACCAGTCCGCTTGTATCGTATTCGATATCGATTTACCGCGCTGCAGCTAATCGAAAAGTAAGCTCGGCCGACTCCGACTCGTGGCCTCGTCCTCTGGTTCTAATAACTACCTATCCACCTAACTAAGTAACTAACTGCTAAGATTGGTTTCCTTGGATCTCGTTGGAACTGGAAATAGGGAAATTCTTATAGGACTAACCCACCGAGGGAGCGAATCGCGGGTTTAGATAAATTACTACACTTTAAACCGCACCGAGCGCAAAAAAAAAACGCCGGCTTCGCTCTGATTTAGAGCGCCAAGTCAGCACTTCCATCCATTACTACGAGTGAGTTAGTGCTGGCAAGGCTAGATTTGCTAAAAGAGAGTGCACTTCAACTTGCTTGCATGGATACGTGCTACGCAGAGTTCACCATGTTCAATCCTCTGTGAAGCTACAGCCCGCAGCCGTAACGACGGGTTCGTTCGCTGCCCTTCTAGTCGCTAGGCCCTCCTACGTGGACATGCTTCATGGGCACCTCGCGAGGGTTTGCTTTGGCTATGCTCCTCAAAATCACTTGCTGTCGATATCTCGCGATAGTATTAGCTGATAATGAAGACTTCATCATGCAGCCCTCCAGTGTTGTTAATTGCTTATTGGTTCGATGACCTGCACGGGTTAAACTGAGACTAAATTTGCTTCACTACACTACAAAAAATGGCCATGGTGATTGATAGATTACATACTAGTATAGACTAAGGGCGTCTCAGGCTGCCTCTACAATAATTTCTTGCAGTCAGTGTCCCTCAGTGCAGCACTGCTGCGCTTAAAGCCCACCTCCCATCGCGTAACTGCTAAAGCGACCGTAACGGAGACCCTTTGCGCTTCAAGCTGCAAGATCCCCTTCGGCCGCGTACCTGACAAAATGCTGGTTCTACGGCGAACGCAATCTGAAGCGTGAATCTACCGCTGTCACCAGCTTTCTCCATGCGTCTTCGAGCGTCAGGTTTGACTGATCATCAGCATTTTCCTGAATGTCATTCATGTAGTTCCTGTTATAATAGCAGCTATCCTGGACTCCTCAACTGTAGCTCTATTAGAGAACGTAGACCTAGCTCTCGCTCGTGTCGAAGATAATAATGCTCTGTAGTGAACTTCGGTCTGTCCGGAGCCGAAAGCAATGTTTGCCATGCCTTGACGATGCAAGTCTCAAAAGGTCCCGGTCTCACTTAGAAACCTTAGCCGAGAGTCTGCCATGATGCTGGGAAGCCAAGCTTCCTAACGCCACCACGGACCGAGTCGTTGAAGCACCCTGGGTCGCCGCCCCCGGTAACACCGCAACGGAGTGCGTCGGGGGAAGACAAGCCAGATCCTCGCCATGAGGAGCTCCAACACAAACGAGCGCAAGCACCACCAGCAGAGCAGCAAGGGGGGCATGAGAGAGGCTTAGAAGATGCAGCAGCTCCATACAGGGGGCAGCAGGTGGACAAGATGCATCACGAGCAGCACGAACGGCAGGTGGATAAGCTGCGTCTGGAGCAGCCCAAGCAGCCCAAGCAGCCCACACTCATATCCTAGAAGGTGTCCACAACCTACCCAAGACGGCGCTGGGATAGAATATAGAAACAAAATTAAGCGGACGGACAGCGTTCGTGTCCCACATCAAAAGGTAAACTGTCATTGTTTTCTGCTCGCTACACTAATCGCCATTATGCATCCTAGGTCTGGGGAGTGAGCCCCGCCGAATCGGAGCAGGCGCAAGTCAACGAACTTGGTCTGGGTCTAATTCCCAGTCCAAACTGCGCCCACCTGATCGAGCTCCACGCCCGAGGACCCATGCCAGCCGCCCAGTTGGTAGTCATCGGGGGCACAGTCCGTTCCTGCCGCGTCCGGTGCGGAAGTGCCACCTTGGATCCACCTGTCCATAGTTGTGGTAACCTTGATAAACCGGATGCGCGTACGGCCATGGTACTTGCCCCAGTGGGCCTCCACGCACTTGATGCGCTCGCCAGTCTTTAGGGTGAGCGTTTGCGGGTTGCCGCCGTTGCCGCCGTGGTACGCAGAGGTCCGTTTTCCTCCCGGGGGTGTGACGTCAATTTCAACGCCGTTCACGCTCACCCGTGCGGATGGTGACGGAATGAGAAAAGTACACAATCAAATCAAGATCAGGCCCACATTAAAATCTACGCTCACCCGTGCGGATGGTGACGGAATGAGAAAAGTACACAATCAAATCAAGATCAGGCCCACATTAAAATCTACGCTCACCCGTGCGGATGGTGACGGAATGAGAAAAGTACACAATCAAATCAAGATCAGGCCCACATTAAAATCTACAAGAGGCCCGCATCAAAACAGCCTATCCACGTTACAGTGCTACAGTGCTGTAGTCATATCGGTACATCCACCATTGGCACTCAGGCAAGGCTCTCAGGCAGAAGCGCCGCCCGACTTGAGGCTTACGACTCGTGAGTCACAATCAAGAAGCAGCAGAAGGGCGGCCACACACCCGTGCCCACGCGCACAGCCCAGTCCCAGCAGCAGCAAGAGGGTCGCGAAGCGTTCGCTGCCTACTCGAGCACCGAGAGCGCGGAGCCACTGTGCTGCGTGTGCGAGCCCCGTCGCCTGAAAGCCAAGCGCGGCGTCGTCGCCACAGCCCGGCCAAGCACCACCAGTGTCAGCTCAGTCAGCGGCAGCAGCGAGAGGGGCGCGGCGCCGTCACCGCTGTCTACCCGAGAGCCACCAACAGTAGCAGCAGCTGCCGTAGCGAGAGAAGCCCGGCACTACCGTCTATCCGAAGAACGCCAGCAGCAGCAAGTAGAAGAGAGCCCGGGTGCAGCGCCGCCGCTGCCACCTACCTGAGCAGCACTGCCTACAGCAGCAAGACGAAACACAGCACTGTAGCCACCGCTAGAAGAGAAGATGGACCCAATACTCAAGGCAAACTTTTGGAACGACGGCTACTTGATTGGCAACCTACATTTGTCTGCTGCTACTTTGAAGTCCGCTCTTGCTGAGTTGAAAGCCCTAGAGTTCCGACCAATCTTCGGTGAAGTGTACGAGTTGGAGCGCGACTCCAAGCGGCTCCAAGCAGGTATCACGGTCTTTGGCCCCGCCATCGAGAAAATTTACAAGCGCATCAAACGAATTGTGAAAGAGTCGGAGGATGAGTGGTATACGAAGCGCAAGTTGTGGGCGGCTCTTAAGTCACTTCCCGGTGGTCTACGACAAGGTCTTCACCGAGACTTCCCCTCCTTTGAGACTAGCAAGGCTCTTTTAGAGAAAGATGTGGTGCAGGCGTCAGTGATAATATCGCTGATGCCGAACACCTACTTTTACATCTATCCTGGGTGTTTTGGCGCCTACTGGACCGTGACAAATGCACTGCCGTGACGCTTGATGCGGGCGATTTCCTGCTTTTCCGTGGCGACCTAGTGTATGCTGGTGCTGAGTTCAAGAAGGAGAACATTAGGCTGCATTGCTACGTGCGAGTCCGCGGGATCAAGCAGAAGGCGGATGCTACAGAAGCGTCAGTTTTCAACACGTACATGTGTGAGTTCTGCAATATGCAATGCGATTCTCGCCGTCATCCTAGCAACCACCGCCGCTTCTGTAAGAACAACCCCGACAGAGAGAAGACAAAGGAGAAAAGGGAGAAGGCGGACGACCAAGGTGGGTATTGCAGTATTTGTGATATTCCATACAAGAAACGAAGTGCATACCATCAGCACAACCACCGACGCCACCCAAAGAAGCCGAAACGAACCGTTCGCTGGGATCTCGACGCGCGTGAAGACGGCGATCTGGAGGACGACAGTGAGGCTGTTGACGGTGACGGTCGCGTGGCAAGCAGCGACGAGGCCGAAGCTGAGAGCGACATCGAGGATGAAGTCAGTAGTGATGACGAAGAAAGCAGCGAGGAGGAGCAGAGCAGTGAAGAAGAGGACAGCAGTGGAAAGGAGGACAGCAGTGATGACGAAGAGTAAAGAGAATAGAAGAAAACCTCTGCAATACAGTGACTGCGTTTTAAATTCACTGAAATTTAGTTTGCTGATGACTTACTTGCATTCTTATTGTTACTGCTCAGTATTGTCAGCGATATAAACTGTCAGTGTCAGTGATCCATACTGTCAGTGTCAGCGATCCAAAATGCCAGTGTCAGCGATCCATACTGTCAGTGTCAGCGATCCATACTGTCAGTGTTAGCGATCCATACTGTCAGTGTCAGCGATCCATACTGTCAGTGTCAGCGATCCATACTGTCAGTGTCAGCGATCCATACTGTCATTGTCAGCGATCCATACTGTCATTGTCAGAGTGACAACCTTGATTTACAATTGGCCGGCATGCTGACGGCGGTGAGGACAAGAACAGCGAGTGCTGCGAGGACGACAGGAGCGATGAGCGCAGCGAGGACGACAAGCGGTAAGTACAGCGACGATAGCGATCAGTACAAGGGCGACGAGGACGGCAAGAGCCGCAGACCAAGATGCATGTGTAGGAGAGGGCAGACTTCGCCTTCTCCTTTGAGCCAGAGAAAACGAAGTACGAGAGCGTAAGTCGCGACACCGGCCTGGTGCACGCGATTGCAACACGACTGTAGTTATACGTACCAGAGCGAGCATTGACGCTTACGTGTCGGTGGTGGCTCCGGAGGAACAGTGAGTATTGCAGCCTCACGGCGTTGCAACCCCGGTATTGTAGCCCGGTTCCAGACTTCTGTCGCCGCCCAGAGGTAATTAGCAGCCCCAAGAGGTGACAGAGAGAGAGCACGTGAGATCACCGAGGCAGGAAGTCGGGTCAGCGCTAAACACCTCCGGCGATCCCAACGGACCCAGAGTCTATTCGAGGAACGAGGCGGTCAACCCAATTGCGTATCTGCGTGTGTTGATTAGATTGTGGTCGCCACCTTAGCCACCAGACACCGAGCTAAAGTACACGGCTCAGGACTGGCACAGACCAAGGGACGGGCAGGTGTAGGTGTCGATTGTTACTTCAGCGTCAGTGTTAGCGATCCATAATGTCAGCTTCAGCGATCCATACTGGCAGTGTCATCCATTCATACTGCAAACTAAAAATAATATGTTCTCCAGCTAACCCCTACTAAGCTGCAGGCGATATGATTAATAATTTGCATCCGTTTTATATTGAATTACCGCTAGAAAGGTGTGACGCAGTGAATAGTACTCACCAAGCGGGAAAGCACCAATACGCGGTGTAGAAGAATGTTGAAGGTCTTTTTGTAAAATTCACCTCTTCAAGATCGGTATATTATTTTTTTTTATAAAAAGCTCAAGACATTGCCATATTGTTTCTTAGAACGTTAGAAACCTAGCTGGGTACGTTTAAGTGCTGGTGAAAGTATTGTAAAGTGGAGCGATAGAGTAAAGCTTCAAAATACATCCTGATATTTTGACTCATTAAAAATGGTATTGGATCTCTAGTGCGCTTCTTGCCATAGGAGGGCGGCCTGATCGGTTTGGCTGCCAAACAATACCTTGCCCAAATGGCGTGGCGTGGGCCGTGTTGGACGCGAGCATTCGTGAAGCCCCCCCCCCCAGATGTGGGAAATCCCCCAATTGGTCGCGTTGAAGATCGTAGGCAGTTGGGGACTTTCGGTTTGCTGGACGACTGTTGGCCCTTGAAAGTAGGTCTGCTGCGCGTTGAACGGAAACTGTGGGAGCACAGTGGCCGAGTCGGCACATGTGAAGTTGTCAGATGCAGTCTCAATTGGAGTCACAGTTGATGGCGGTAGTGTCGGCTGTGTTGCAATAGGAACTTCCACGGTTGTACGACCTTCCTCGGTTTGGCCTCGCTGCTTCTTGCGTACTCGACGGTCCTTAAGCCGGTCACAGCACCGCCCACCCGAATACCGTCTATCGCCTCTTAGCATCTGTGCGCCAAGTACGTGACAGCAATGGCCCATTTTCGCGCAATACCGACATTCACATGTGCCCTCGGTAATGTCCACAGTCCACCCTTCTGCTGGCATCTTCATTCGATGAGCCATATACAGTGACCACTTCATTGCATGATTGTGCATAGCGGAAGCGTTGCGCCGTTGCCGTCGTCCAAGCCTCTCGTGCAACTGAACTGTTGTCTTGCTCGTGATAAGCCGCACAAAAGCCTGATTGGAAGCTTCTGCCAAACGCTTCGACTCACTGTTGAAGGAGCTCAATTGAACAATTCTCACAATACGCGCCTCGCCCATCTCGTACAGCACTAACTGCTGAGCATGGACTAATTTTCGGGCCGTGTTCACTAGTGTCGAAGGTGGGTTTCCAATCGACGCGGCAGGTTTGTAATTATCTGCCGTCACATTTTCACATATCACTGAAAGTTTTCGAAGCAGCCGCTGGGTGTCGAACATCTTCCGCATCAAATATCGTTTGACACTAGCATTGAACGTTTCACACGGGTTATTCGTTGTAGCGTAGCCGGTGGGGGTGTGAAAGGCTTGCCAACGCCAGTAACGACTTTGAATCCACTGTTTCTCGAAGTAATTGGCAAAATCTTGGAGAACTCGGACTTTTCGCCATTGTGCCAGAATCGTATCACGAATTTGATAGAACTCCATGAGGCTCGCTGAAAAGTGCATCGCAATAATGCCCTTGTAAACCATAGCACCGGCAGCATTATCAAGCTGGCGTGTTCGCTTTCTCACGTTGTAAAGTACATGAAAGAAGCACATTAAAAATGTGGCACCTCGGAATTGAGGTGAGCTCTGCAGTGCATTGTACTGGGCATCTTCTGCATCGCCAAGTACCGCATCGATCTTGGGATCCTGGGAGAACAACTTGTGGTATACTTGCAACACGGCCGCAAGAACTGAGGAGTACTCTACGTGAGTCAAGCGGCTAATGACAAATACAGCCGCCAGGTGATACTTTCTGGAGTAGTCGCTAAATCCACACGTAATGACAGGGTAACCGATCTCACTGAGCTTGAATGTAGCATCGAGATGAAACAAAGCAAAAATATTCGACTCTTGGAAACTTCTCAACTTCTCCAGCAGGCCCACCGTCGACACACCCAACACCAAAGCATCGTCGTCTTCACCCTTCCCGATACGAGGAAAACCATCGTCATCCCGAGTGCCTCCAAACATGAACGCTTTGTCTGCATCTATTCCAGAGTGTAAGGGGCACTCGCGCACCAATTTCTGCAGCGATTCAACCGAGTTTCGCTCTCCATGCTTCGCTCGCAAGCTTTTGACGCATCGAGCGACCTGTTCATACGTAGGCACCCCGTTCAGCGGCGGAGCTTCGCTGTAGCGACGCAGCCCTGACCAAATGTGCCGCGGCGCCAAACCAGTTTCATCCATGTCTCCGATGTACGTTCGCATTGCAGGGGTGATCACCGCACGATGCACCCCACCGCATCCAGCACTTCCACGAGTATGCTCAACTGCTGTACGAAGGATTCTCCATGCATTTGTGCTTGGGCACTGCCACACCTTCCATACTTTCACGCACATGGGCTTCTTGTTTCCCTTGGGCACGGCTAACGCGATGCATGTAACACTTGAGCACCGTATGCGTCTTTCATCCATTTCGTGGTCACCTGGGCAGATTTGGCACGTCTCCTTAACACGCTTGACGTAGGCACTGGAGCAGCACATTCTCTCGAGTCGCTCTTTTACGTAGCTTTCACTGTTCTGCCCAGAAGCGACGATTTCCCACACAGTTCTCTCGTCGCGCGTCTCGTGTCTTTCAGCGTTCTTGTAGCGCAGTTGGCGGACAGCGGTGGATAACTTATAGTCTCGTCTGCTCTTCTCGACTTCTGCGCGAGTTGATCACTCCTGGCCTTTCATTTTAATGTGTGATCACTGTATTTTAGGAGAAGCCTAATATACAGTGGACCACACTACCATCAAGCTTGTTTTGATTCGGTCCGAATAGTGTTTGATTTTCGACAATTACGCAGTCTGGTTTTGACCAAGTCTTTTTGTGTTTGATCGTGCCCCATAAGTGTTTGATTTTGCCCCGAACGTGTGTGATTTCAACCCAGTCTCGTGACGGAATGCACAGCCTCTCCGGACTGTGGCGAAACCCGTGTCCGAGAAAAATGTGCCGTGGGGCTCGCCATACAGCTTACCGAGCCTGTAAATTTCCCAGTCCTCAGTAGCTCCCTCAGTAGCGCCGATCGCCGATAGCGCCACTGTTGCCAGGACCTGGAAGAAGAACTTCGTCGTCGTTGCTTGAGCTTGTTGCTGGTAGAAGGAAAAATGATAATGAACGCTCTCGTCGCAGTGCTTCTCCCCCCCCACCCCTCAGCATGGCTTGAGGCAGTTGACATACCGTATTCCTTAGGGGCTGGTCGCTGGCTCTCGGTCGGGTGTTCCAGAGATGGGCAGGGGTAGGTGAACTACTAAGTCGGCCTCGAGTTTTCACTTCTGTATTATTTTTGCTCATTATGGATATAACCATTGCAATTCGCAGAGAACCCGGGAACCAGCAAGGGGATCGAGTTCCCGGGTTCTCGGCGGATCATCATGGTTATGTCCAAAGTGAGCAAAAATAATACGATATCATTTCGCATACAGTGACACCTCTATAAATGACACCCAGTTCGCTCGGTCTAATACGCTGTTTCAGTTAAAGAATTGATCAGATAAAGAAATGACTACACTTCTAATGGCTACATTTTCATATGTTAGTATTAGCAGAATCGCATCCCCTCACGTTGTACGTGAGTTTCAATACAGCGAGGTTATTGGAATATTTGTTGTCCCGATATCCTGCCACCATGCCTGCAGTTTTATCTTTTGCTTGGTATCTACTGCATAGCCCCTGTTGTCTCGACACCATAATATTTTAGGTTTTCGTAAAATATATATGTACGCTGCGCTGATTGTAAAATACTGTGGCTAGCTTATTTATCACAAGCTTGCACTTACTGCAAACTCTTTGTTCCAACTTTGCATCCCAAATACAATTTCTCTCTTCGCTCGATTTCTTGTGGCGGGAGTGGTGGTAGCAATGGCATACGTGGGAGGAGGCTGGCAAGTGATTGAGAAAAATATATGAGTTTGGATCTATTACTACGGCGTCCATTTAGAGGGTTGAGGCGCCAACAATTGCGACCATTTAGAGAATAAAGAGGTTTTTGATCAGTTATAGAACACCTATAGTGAAATCCATATAATCCCGTTTGCAGTCGAGGAATCCTAACCAGATAGGGAATACATGGTCAGTTAGAGGGGTTCATTTCGGGAAGTGTCACTGTATCACTTGCCGTCGCGACCGAGAACCAGCACCAGCCAGCAGCAGCCCCTAAGGCTCGGTCTGGTGAGCGAAGGGGTAGGAGAACTACTCGGTTTTGACTCTGTCTGTTTTTTGTCCAAAATGAACAAAACATAGGCACTTTACTCAAAACCCGAGAACCACCTCGGCGATTG